TACTAGTCTTTTTTCCTTTATTGTTTTTGTGCCAAAACTGGGGCTTGAACTCAGGGCCTCACACTTTCACTTGGCTTTTTCTCCTCAGTTTGGTTCTTCCACTTTGAGCCACACTTCCAACTTGTGGCTTTTGCTGTTTTTTTTTTTTTTGGTCAGCCATAGGGCTTGAACTCTGGGCCTGGGCATTGTTCCTGACTTCTTCCGTTCAAGGACAACACCCTACCATGTTGAGCACCAGCGCCATTTTTGTTTTTTGCTGTTTTAACTACAGATTAAATCTCAAGGCTGGAAGCCAATGGCTCACGCCTGTCATCCTAGCTACTCAGGAGGTGAGATCTGAGGATCACAGTTCCAAGCTAATCTCGGCAGGAAAGTGTATGAGACTCTTGTCTGCAATAAACTACTCAAAAAAGCCAGAAGTGGAGATGTGGCTCAAGTGGTAGAGTGCTAGCCTTGAGCAAAAGCTCAGGGACAGCACGAAGGCCCAGAGTCCAAGCTTCATGACTGGCAAAAAAAAAAAAAAAAAAAGAACATCAGATCTTGCTTGTGACACTGCAAGCAGCAATTGTTGGAAAGCAGCGAAGTGAGCAGGTTGTGTTCTTTTTTATCAAGTTGACAGTGAAAAGCTGCTTTCCTCTTATCCCGCTGTGAAGAGTGAAATGCAGAACTGACAAGACACACTTCACAACACTGGCCCTGGATTTGAGGTTACAACAACACAAAAAGACTCCTCTTATTTAGATGCATTTGATGATTTCCATGTTGTTCCGTAGACATTTTTTTCCCCCTCAACTGAGCATGGTAGTGCCTGTCTGTAATCCCTAGCACTGAAGAGGCTGAGGCAGAAGAACCCAAAGCGTAAACAAGATCCTACCTCAGAAAAGAATAGCCATGTCCTCCCTGGTGGATCACACCTACTCAGGCAGCTGAGATCTGAGGACTGAAGTTCAAAGCCACCCTAAGTAGACCAATTTTATTATTATTTTTTTTGGTCCAGTCATGGGGCCTGAACTCTGGGCCTGGGCGCTGTCCCTCAGCTCTTCAGCTCAAGGCTTACACTCTACCACTTGAGCCACAGCACTACTTCTGGCTTTTTCTTATGTGGTGCTGAGGAATCGAACCCAGGGCCTCATGCATGCAAGGCAAGCGCTCTACCACTGAGCTACCTTCCCAGCTCCAAATAGACCAATCTGAGACTTTTTTTTTTTGGTCAGTTATGGGGCCTGAACTCAGCCTGGGCGCTGTCCCTCAGCTCTTCAGCTCAAGGCTAGCACTCTACCACTTGAGCCACAGCGCCACTTCCGGCCTTTTATGCTTATGTGGTGCTGAGGAATCGAACCCAGGGCCTCATGCATGCAAGGTCAACACTCTACCACTGAGCACCTTCCCAGCCCTCTTCGAGACTTTTATCTTCAATTAACCAGCAAAAAGCCAGAAGTTGGAGGTGTGGCTCAAGTGGTAGGCTACTAGCCTTGAGTGAAAAACTTCAAAGCTCTGGGACCCTGAATTCAAGATCCAGTGTGAGCACAAAAAAGCACAAGGGCTGGGAATGTGGCTCAGTGGTAGAGTGCTTGCCTACCATGCATGAAGCCCTGGACTCAATTCCTCAGTTCCACATACACAGAAAAAGCCAAAAGTGGTGCTGTGGGTCAAATGGGTAGACTGCTAGCCTTAAGCAAAAGAAGCCCAGTGACAGTGACCAGGCCCTGAGTTCAAGTGCCAGGAATGACAAACAAACAAAACAAAAACAACAACAAAAAACCCACAACAAAAGAGGAAGACAAAGAGAAAGAAAACTAGAGTGATAAAGAGTTGGGATATGCCTGATGTGGTATAGAACTTGCCTAGTAAGTACAAGGCCCTGAGTTCAAACCCTAGCACCACAACCATCACCAAGAAACAACACAGAAAACCAGGAAAAGATGGAAAGGATATTGATTGCATACTTGTGTGGAGCTGCCACACTGGAATCTCCTCTAGTTTGGCTAATGTACACTTAACACAAGGAAAATGAAGATGTTTTATCTTGTTTCATTTTTCAGACTTAGAATCTTATTTCACTTTTCTTTAAACTTTCTAGGGTTAATTGTGCAAGGGCTTCACTGTGATACTCACACAGATATGTAACCACACACTTTGGTTGTTCTCGCTGACTACAGCAGCCTGTCTCTGTGTGCTGTGGTCTCCCAGGCTGGATGACCTCAAGGACTCAGGGTTCACCATCAAGCCCACTCCCCGCTTTCTGGGTCAGCTTTACATCACAGCCCCTCTTTCCTGTTCCTTTTTTTTTTTTTCTTCTTGCTAGTCCTGGGGCTTGAACTCAGGGTCTGGACGTTGTCCCTGAGCTTCTTTTTGCTCAAGGCTACCGCTGGAGCCACAGTGCCATGTCTGGCCTTTTCTGTGTATGTGGTACTGAGGAATTGAACCCTGGGCTTCATGCATGCTAGGCAAGCACTCTACCACCGAGCCACATCCCCAAGCCTACACCTCGGCCCTCTTAGAACCTGTGTGTGTTGGTGGGTCGGTCCCGGGGCTTCCTTCTGCTGCAGGCTAGCGCTCTACCACGTGAGCCACGGCGACACTTCTTTTGGGGGGTGGTGGTTGAATGGAAGTGAAGAATCTCCCGGACTTGGCTG